CCCCAAAACCCCAAAACCCCAAAACCCCAGCCTTAGTTGTTCAGATTGAAAAATAAAATGAGTTGGCTAAAACACTTGGGTTAAGGAACTGAGAAATTAGAAAATCCTTTATTTTTAATTTATGTAAAGCCATCCCGGCTTTGCCGGGCTGACTTGAAAGGACTTAAAATTTTTAGAAATTCCTGTCTAATTCTGTGTTGTTCCAGGCTTACTTAAAGAAAGCATGGGGTTATGGAGTTGGACGCGTCGTGCTGGGAAAGCTTGCGTTGTCAGAGAAGAACTGTCAGTTTTGGAGGAAGGTAGATTTAGAGGGTGGGGGAAGGTCATTACCGTAGGAAGAAAGCGGATTTTCCCATTGGGCTGTCCACATTTTGAAATAATAGCTGTGTCCGACAAGGATAATTTTTGAATCGTCACCGGGAGAAGTGGTGGTTATAAATTCTTTAATATGATTCTTAGCTAAAGCAACTCTTTTAAGAATGTTGAGGTCTTTTTCAATTTTATTCGGGTAGTTACGGTCAATTTCATCCAAGAGAAGATCATAAGCATTAGAACCGATAGGGTCACTGGGGTCGTATATTTTTGAAGTCGAGATTTTTTTAGAAAATTCTAGATCGATGTCTCTTAAAAAGTAGTGTTCTTGGTCTGAGTACTTTTCAACCTCAGAAGTATCGAACTTCTTAAATTTATTGCGGTAATCCGAGATAGTATCTTTAATATTCATAGGTATGTCACAAGTAGTATCAATTGCTTCCTTCAACATAGGCAGAACAATAAATTTGATATTATCAAAATTAGGGTGGCTTAAAAATACGTTGTATGCAGTTTCGAGAGCTCTCTTCATAGGTGAAACAAATACATACCCTACATCCAACCTATTGGCCATTGGTTGAGCTTCTTTTCACTGTTGTAGGCCTAGATCTGACAAGGGAGCGTCCCTTAGATCCTTCCGGACTCTTAATATCCTCTCGTCTTCGATTGAATAGTTCCTTAAACTCATTTTACCATATTCAAAATTATACTCAGAATTAGCGTGTCTGAGAAGAATAACCTGCGAACCTTGCTTCAGGGCCTCAAGTTCTGCTGAATCATGAACCACTTGGGCTAAATTCAACCTGAAAAAAGCAATTGTGAGCCAGAATAAGCCTATTTTATGAACTTTTTTGGGAAATAGATGCTTTAGTAGATTCATCGATTTTTAATCAAATGTTTCAATTTTAATACAATTTATTGGGGTTTTGGGGTTTTGGGGTTTTGGGGTTTTGGGG